AGCTCGTTGTCGGCGTCAAGAAGGTCTGCGCGGTGCTCTGTTGACCCAATGACGTGGCATGAGAAGACAAAAATGCCCTTTTTGGCGCCCAGCCGAATAAATTCAGTGATGACTCAAGCAGCATATCCCTCTCCAGCTGCAGAGCCGTACATGTGTTGTCGCTTTGGTGAAGAACGCACGCCGTAGCTGAAGGCCACCATGTTCTTGCGTTCCTGAGTAAAGTTGGGGGCGGCAGTGGCACACAATTTTCGGAAGAGTGCACTTGCGTCCGGCCAGTCCAACGCCTCAACGACGTCAAACAAGGCCCCAGCAACCGCAAATCCGGCATCCCTCAGGGGCTGGGGGCGATACAACTGCACCGTGTTGCCGTCCACCCGCACTGTCGCGGGGAGCTGCGAGAACGGCGTCGTGGTTTGGTGAGAGCAGAAACGGCTTTCGCCTCCATTGGGATAATATCACATTGAATGCTGCGCTGTGTGTTTGTTGCATGCACACACAGGAGGGTCAAAGACAGAAAGAAAGAAAAGAGGAGAGAGACCGAGAGGGAAACAACAATTAATAATCTTCTGGGCCGCCGGCCGGACTCTGAAATCATCCAAAAAGGACAGGAAAAAAAGCGGTAAATGGAGAGGCAATGAGCTCGCCGTAATGTTTTCCCCAAAATATATGCACATTCTGTCAATCACTGCCGTGGACTGCTGCGCACAGTTAGAATTAGAAACACTTATCCCCCGCGAAGCGGCAGGCCTTTGGGCTCCTCCACCCACAAGGGTGGGAATCACAAAGTGGGTGGGTGGGAAGATAAAAAATAAAAAATAAAAAATAATAATAATTTCGTCTGGCAGCTGTCGGCTCCCTGACTCCCTCAATCGCGGTCTCCCAAAAGACCGTACAATAGAAGAGAAAAAAGTTGTGAAGAGATATCTTCGTTTGCGCGAGATATGAATTTATTTGGGAAGCCCGCCGCCCTCTCAGGCATTCTTCTCACAAACCCCCATAAGAAAAAAAAGAAATTGTGCGGCCCCCACATCCCGCAAAGGCCTCCAGGGGCGACGGAGCATTCACAGAAGTAAAAAAAAAATGAAAAAATGAAAAACTAGTTGTAGTGGTGCGACACTCTTGACCACGATAATTCTCTGAAAAAAAAAGACATTCTCTGACCTAACCCTGCAGAAACACACAAATATAAAAGCCGTAAAAACACTCGCTAACATAATCCATCATAAACGCACTGCGCTAACCTCCTCAGTCATTTCTTCAATCTTCTCGTCTAGGCTTTTTGCCTCACGAAGTTTCGGCATCTTCGGGATTACAACATGCGCCTAAGAAAACACTCTGTCAGCGCAAACTGGTACTGATGTGTGGTTTCCCAGAACTCCGCAATCCTCTCATGATCAACATCTCCCACACTCGGCGGGTCGACGACATCACATCTCTGCCAGTCGTTCATCGGCGTGCCGTCTGCGTCCTGCACATAAATAATCTCCCACGACAATCCTTGAGAAAATTCACCCCAACCATTAAAAAACTCCGATAGATACTGAGTGAACTGCCACACGGTGCTGGTTGTCGTGTGATGCTCGCCCGCCGTAGTCATCCGCAGCCCCACCAGCGTCCTCCGCGGTGACTCCACGAAGAAAAAGCAGTCCACCAGCGGAAAGTCCCTGGCTACCGGCATGTACAGCACCTGATAATTTATATTTTGTTTCTCATTAATTCCTTCAACTCCAGGTATTTCACATATTTCGGTGGGGTGCGCTACAGGATTTGCTTTCATCACTGTGTCCTGAATATCATGTGCTGGTGGCCTCAGCTCCTTGAGTTCCTCTGCCATTGCACTGACAAACCCATCAAGGATGAGCGCGTGCAAACAAAACCTGTCCGTACATGCGGACGAAATAGTTTTCCTCGACCCCAATACTAGCAACAAAAAGCCTTTCTCACTCATTGCCTTTGCCAAAATATTCGCTGATCGAGACCCAAGGAAATAACATATCGGTGCGTTACGAAACCTCTCAAGACCGACTTCTCCTCTTATTCGGACAATCCTCACGAGTTTTTCGGACGGATCCTTAGAATACCATAGCCCCCTTCCCGGAAGTATAAAGCGACTGTCAGCATACCGAGAATTGATCGCTTCCAAGGCATTTTCAACTGCACCAAATCGTGCTTTAAAATCTTCCGCACGAAAGATATGCTGCGGAAGCGGCCCCACTTTTTCCATGCGTTCTTCGACCATCTTCCAGCATTCCGCTTGTTTCTTTTTGGTCTCGTCACGCTTCATCCACGCACACATCGCCTTCACATCCATCTCGTCGGGGCAATTCATGATGATTCGCTCGGCCCTTACTTGAGTCGCCCATCCATCATAGTTGTCCAGGTTTGGCGATGACACCACAATCATGCCCCATTCACGAAAAGAGGCAAAATAACTCGCTGGCGGTGTCTCTTGCCATGTCACATCGTAGATAATGTACCCCTTAATTCCACGCTGCCACAAACCATACAAAACAATCTTGGAGATTTCATTACCCTCGCATTTTGTCACCGTCTGGATGGTCTTGTTAAACACGTACGCCGTAGCTCCAAAACAGTGGACAACCACTCGGAGTTTCTTGATATCGTAGTGCAGCAGCTGGTAGAGGAGGTACGAACTGGCAGCCATCGACTTCCCGATCCCGGGCGTCCCAATCAACACACGCTTCTTGGGCGTAAATTCGGTTCGACCGTGACTGCTGAACCATTCGGTGAGATCGCCCTTGACGATCTGCCACACTCGATCCACCTCAGAGTTCACATAGCAGTCATGAATGAATTTATGCTCCTCCCATTTCCACGAGTACGGCCATCCCTTGTCCGAGGTAAGCACCATCAGCCTGGAAGGTGCGGCACCGGATTGCTCCACACCGTTATTCTTTTCGAAAGTGTCGCCAACTGCCTTGTACGTCCATGGCTGTGCTGGTTCCCCCTCCCTCACCTCCAGTCCCGTCCCCTCGCCGCCAGGGACCTCCACGACATGATGCCACCTCGCATTGTACACAGACTCGTACAATCCCTCCAGGTATATCGGTGCACTCGTCGTCTTTGGATTCCTCACATCCACGAGGGCTGCATCCAAAGTATGCTTGGTGATGCCATTAACGCTTGCTTTTACCTCCGCAGCAGCCTCTGACCACTTCAGTAGATTGTCCACACCTTTATCGCAAAGGCTGCGTAAATCTTCACAAAAAGTCATTTCCTTCCTTACAGCAATCTCCATCCTCACATAATTATATAATGTTTTTATTTCGTTCAATAATCCCTCATCGCCAATGTACCTCTCAGGGTCCCTAACAAACTCCTCCAGCAAGACATTCCGATTTGCGTCCACGACGCCCCTTCCGCCCAACTCCACCGTAAGAAAATCATTCAGCTTCATGTTCTTGGCGCGAACTCTTCCCCTCAACAGCACATCTTCGATATTGGTGGAAAGGGTAATTTTTATTTGTTGCTTTTGCCTTGTCCTTTCCTTTGCCTTCCGTCTTGCCCTTTTCTCTGCCTCTCTTTCTGCTTCTTCTCTCCACAAAAGAAGGGCTGCGTCGAGTGCTCCCTTTGCAATGGGAGTGACCGTATCCTTTCCTTCAAAATTCCTCCACTGTGCAAGCAAGAACACGCCTTCTCCTTTCAGTGTATATGCAGCCTCCAGTAGCATTTTCATCGCTCGGCATAACGGGAATTCCGCTAATGTGCACGATAACGTTTCGCCGTTGGAAAAAAGCATGGGGTTCGTAAGAAACATCTCCATAGAGACGTCCTCATTGGCGTCCACAACGCCCCTGCCGCCAAGAAAATTACAAAGGAATTCGTTCAGCCCCATGCTGGTGATGCGATCCTTTCCCCCCAACAGCACATCCTCCACCCGACTGTCAAGGGTCCACTTCGTTTGCTGCCTTTTCCCCACTCCTCCGCAAGTCGCAGCGGGGTGATAGGTGTCAGTATAGGACTCCGGCCTCGTTCTCTTCCGACAATCCCCTTGCGGCACAGTGGGCACTCGAATCTCCACATTGCCGCCTTGTACACTCTCCGGCCTTCCAGACATCGTTTCTCCTTGTCTTTCTGTTTGGATTGAGTTAGATCTAAACAATAACCACCCAACGTGGAAAATAAGAAAAAGAAATACAATAGGCACAGTCATGACTCGCAGCCACAACAAGAGAGTCACCCACACAGTGTGACGGCACAGTATTCGGTGCACACCATACGCACGAGGACCACCAAAACGATATGTGGATGCCATCCACCCAGCACAGTGTTGGTGAGAGCCAACAACAACAACGTGGTGCGCACGGAGGGTTCGCTCACGCATACCGCTCGCCACAGTCCCCGCACCCGTGCGGTACCGCCCTTACCGCAAACACTCTGCAGAAATACATGTAGGCATAGCCCCTAACACAAAAAAGTGGGAAGAGAATTCGGTGCAGCGACGGCCACACGCAGGTATCACAAATCATACACGCCACAGCAGAAATGCATCATGAAAAGCTCCAATACAAGGAATATATATACATAGAAAATTTCTGCAATTCGCACAGCACAAAAGAACCATGACGCTTCTTTTCCCATTGCATCCGTCATTCACATTCCCAATGCGTAACCCTGCGGACAATACCCCTCCATGGTGAAAACAGCTGCCTCGTTGTGGTGTCATCGCGCAGCAATCCGCCTGAGTAAAAACAAAGGGAAAATCAGGCGTCCGTCCTTATGGAATGAGAAAGCACTCCAAAAAAGTGTCTTAGTTGAAGCAAACACTCCGCGGCCAGTGCCCGGTGTCGTGTGCGGAGTCCGCGAGGAGGTTTTGGGCACGCCACTGTGCCACACGGAGTGCCCCCTCGAAACACAACAGCAGACGTGTCCCCTTCCGGTCCCACTCGTGGCGGTGGCGGCATCCGCTGCCTCGCTGCGTGCTGGTGGCGTCGACTACGATGCTGCATAGTGATATAGAATGCCCGACAGGAGCGGTGCTAGGCTGGGCGGGCAAGGCCCTCCGCGGCGAGACGCCCAGCGCAACCCTTGACCGCGGCGCCCACGCACTTCCCTCCACTCCTCTCCCTCCATCCGGCAACCGCACAGTCACCAGCACATTGTCCCCGAGACAACACACAATTGAAAGCGTGGTAGCATATTCTCCGAGAGAAGAGAGTGGCAGCCACACGCTGCGGCCATCGGGCCGACAAGTCCGACGCAAACACACCCACACCCACAGCAGCAGACACAAAAAAAAAGATCCTCCACTCCATGCCAAGTCCTCGTGCGTGATGGTGCGGCGCTTCAGGGCAATACCGCCACACGCCGTGCAGCATTCCCACAGGGTATGAGAGCCGCGACGCAATCTCACCGTCTCCCCCTTCCTTCTCCTCATGTCCACGGAGTGACGCAGCTGCCAGCACCAACTGCAGGAGGAGCATCCAACTGCAACGCAAAATGTACGCCGTGCGGTTGTGTGCCTGCAGTCACGCAAAGAATAAAAAAAGAGAAGAAAAAAAGAGAGCCACGCACGTGAAGGGGCGCACACAAACACGCAGCAGAGGTGCAGGACGGAAAAAAAGGGAGGATGAAAGCCGCTGAGGCTCGAGATGGCACGGCAGCCCAACCAGCGGCAACCCACAATAATTTTCCTAAAATAAAAATAAGTTAGAAATTTTCTAAAACCCCTTTTAAAAAAACTTGCACGCCCATCAAAGAACTAAAAAAAAAAAAAAAAGAATCCCATCGTGACGCGGCAAAAAAAGAAAAAGAAAAAACTGCTTTTACATTATTCATGCAGAAGTAAAAACACATTTGCTTCGACCGCTCAGCCCTATTTTGTCTACACAACACCCAAATTTCATTGGGTCGCTCAGTGCGTTTTGTTTGTTTGCATCCCAACTCCTTTTTTTTTTCCACTCCGCCATCGTCGTGGCGCCCAATGCCGAGTGCATTTATCATCGGCAGGCGGAAACATTAAATGCAATCCGCCATTATCAGAAAACTACACCATATAGGAGAAGACAAATACACGTATATATAATGAAAGAGAAGAAAAAAATATATAACCAGCGGTGCAGTCCCGGGAGGGGGAGCACGCCCTCACATAACGACTTTCATGGGGAGAGGGGTATTCAAACCAAAAATAAAAATACATAAAATAAACGGTGCATCCACAAAAAAACTGGCAATTACTTCGGAGGGTGCGTGGAGAGGCACATATGCTCACGCCGGTGGCAGGAAGTCCTCACTGCAATTTCTCAGTAAAGGGCCGCAATGCCCCACATCCCCAGCAGCAGCAGCGCCCGCGACACGCCCCCATGCATGGAGTCGTCACCGCTTCCTTTTTCATCTTTGGGTTTCCTGTCCTTGATTGCAGTCATCTCAGTGGGATTCAGTGGGCGATTGTACAGAAAGACGTTCTTCACCGTCACAGGAGAGTTGTGCATTTCGCACGCGCCAAAGCAAAAGCGCACAAGCCCAAGTGGTGTCTCACCTGTTAACATCGTCTCCTCTTCCCCCAGCAACTTGCCATCAATGTACACAGAAGCCTTGTTGCCTTGCAGCATGAGTGCCACTTGGTATTCTTTCCCCGACTCCCAAGTGCCACTTTTTGTTATCTTGTCGTTGAACATAGTTACCCATTCTTTATCCGCGGTATACAAGACTCCCATGGTAAGCGGGGAATTATTGTCCCCCAACGTCGCACCCAGTAGAGGAGCGTCCGCAGTCGGAGCCTCTTCAATGGTCACCGACGCCACAAGTGTGAAATCGTGGCTCAAAAACACATGGCGCACATTATTACCCTGAGTGTTCACAGGCCACATTACCCCGGAGTCAGGCTCCGTCAATTGAAATCCATCCTCGACCTTCGTGGCGTTCGTCACCGTCGAATTCAGGCAAAGGTACTCGTCGTACCATCTCCCATCACCGGCCGCGTTGGACAATACCGCCACCAGACCCACCGTGGGTATAGACAAGCTGGAGAAGAAAACGTCCTTTTGCGACCAAGTGCTGAGGACGGACTTGATTGTACTCAGTTCCTCCGTCAGGCGGGAAAGTGAGATGACACGGCCTTTATCGTTGTCCCTCCGTTGTAAAAGATGCAACTTGCCATCCGAGTACAGCAGGGCGCTGGCGAACTCCCACCTCACAGCAGCCTCCTCCACGGCAACCGGTCCAAAATAAAACGAGCGGTTGTTGTCCGTCACCCAAAGGTAGAGCGGATTGGCGCTTTCCCCCGAGGCGTACCCTCCCTGAATGTACAGCATGACCTTCCCTCCCTCAATGGTCGCGGTGATGAGGGCCTCCACACGCAGGCTTAAATCCTGAATGAATGATCTTGATTTGACCCACACGCCTGGGAGTGTCCCGATGGCCTCCGTCCACGTTGCCCCCATGTCACGCGACTCGTACACCCTCTGGCCATTCTCGCAATCAACAATCATGAGAAGTGATCCCTCCCATTCGGTCATGCGGGGATAACGGCATTTCGCAGGGGACATGCCCTCAGATAGCGCCCAGGTACTGCCGTTGTTCGTCGAATAAATGATCATGGAACAAACGTTTTCTGCTTCATCCTTCGCCATCACAGGAAACACGAGCGTGCCATCCTCCATCAGAACACCTGAGCCACCAGAAGCAAAATCCTTCAATCCAGCTTTGGGTGTCTTTAAAGTAGTCTGGCTTAACGATGTGGGTGAGCCCCACGTGATCCATCCACTCTGCTCGCTCGCCGTAGGCTTCGTGACATCACCCACAACCAGTTTCAGATCCAGGCTGTCCCTTTTCCAACTCCCACCACTCTGATTGAGCACGTCATAGCTTGTCGCAAGAAGAAACACCTTGTTACCCTTCGTTGTTGCTGTGGGGTTGAACACATCGCCCACACGATTCGTTCCATCCGTTGTATCAAGCACGGTGTGTGCCTTCCATGTACTTTCACTCACCTTTTCAACAAGAGTAGACCAATCCCACGAAGAGTCGATGTACTCCGCAACAACATCGGAAGAAATTGGCTTAATTAATACATCATTGTCATATTGGGCATTTATTATGCCTCTGGCAAAAGCAGCAATTACTCCACCAGCATTGACAAGAGAGGGTGAAGCAAATGAATCCCGCTTCGTCCCTGGAGTACCTCCACCCTCCGGCAGAACCGGCGTCGTCTGCGGCACAAATAGATCGACCCATTGCAGCCCCTCAACACTTCTTAAATCACTGTTGCCATCATTCTCCCTTGCAGGCGTAGCTCCACAGGTGGCACAGCACATCGTCGTGACGAGGAGAAGCAGCACCGCGGAAGCAAACACAAGCCGGGACATGTTGAGCTTCGGCGGCTCACTCTCTCTTCGTTTCCTCCTCCTGCCGCTGGATCCGGTCACGCGGCGACGGTTGTGTGTGCGGGGTGCCTTCACTGCAGCAACACGTGAGAGCATACAAATATGTGTGTGTGGGCGGTGTGTGTGTTGTTGGTCCTTTCAGTGCCTTCGAAATTCACAGTAGCGATTGGCGCTTGTTTGCTTGCTTTCCTAGCGTGTCTGTCCAAGAAGTGGAGAAGGCAGCGGCGGCAGAAAGACAACAACAACGGTACACACCGCCGCCACTCAAAGCAAAGCACAACATCAACATCCCCGCAGCCATTGCTCCCCAGTACCCCCAACAGCATAAATAAATGTAAAGTATTTAAAAAGCGAGCAGCCTCCCAGTTGGGGGCCGCGGGCAATGGCCCTGCAAAAAAGACAAATGAGAGGGGGCCACTCGTGCAGTGAGGGAAACAAGCGTTGCACTGCAAAAAAAGCCAATTAGTGAAAATAAAACCACAATGCGAGTGGCACTGCAAAGGCACGGCGGCGTGACACCACGTGGGGAGCATCGATGCAGACCAGCACATCGCCTGCAGGAAGAGTTGCTTCTCCCGCCGAGCAGAGAGGAAAAACAGCCTCAGCGTCCCAATGATGAGAGGTCGTCTGCACCTCCTCGCAGCACCTGCAAGCTCTGCAGACACAAAGATGCAGGTGACGCTCTGCTGCACGCATGACGGCCGTTGCGTCCTTCACAATGGCAACCGCATCCTCTGGCACCACACGCCGCAGTCGATGTGCACAGCATCCGTCTCCCTCCCTCCTGTCCCTCTCCCTGAAAACTCATCGGTGGCCGTGGCACACCCACCGACATGTCAGAAATCAATTGCGTTTCTTCTTCCCTCGCACTTCGCACAGCAGCACCGCCAAACGAAGGTCACTCCTCCTTTCGCGGATTCCCATCAGACACGCCTTTTGCCACATTCATTACCCCACAGCCACACAGTCCGTAAACGTCACGCTGCTGCCCCGCATGATGGAGCCGCACACGCCAACACGGCACCACGCCACTCGGTGCAAGCGGTGTCTGGACACACAGAACAGGTTGCCCCAGCGAACAACAGCCCCCTCCAAGCAGTGAGGCAGGACTCGTCAGTAACAATCAAACAACCAGCCCTTAATCTCCTCCTTCCGCCATGCAGGAGGTTCTGCCTGCCACATGCATCATCTGTGACCCCCGGACTATACATGAGGAGCACCACGGCAAGAATGCACAGGAGCTTATATGTAAACCTCTCAACTCATTCCACGTCAATAAGCAGTGTGGCATCATGCCTGGGCTTTGCAAGAATGTCGGCTGGCGCTTCTCTGAGAGGCCTCCCATAAAAATAGCACGTGATCACAATAAAAAAAAAGCAACGCGTCCAGTCTGACCGTCATCCCGCCGACAAAACATCAAAGCACAATCCAAAAAAATGCCGCAAATCATCACATATTCCACATAGACCATCGACAGCTTACGCGGCAAATGCACAGCACGGAAGAAGAGTCATGCCCACAAACACGCAACACACAGACACAGTAAGAGAGTTGGGAAAAGCAGCACCCAATGCCATTCTCTGTGAATGCAAATGATAATAGCACCAAACAACGTGAAGCGCCAGTCGAGCACCACATATGGGCCACAGACGCCACCCACCCGCCCATTCACTCTTCCTCCTCCCAATGGCGTGGCCCTCCTTCACCTCCACAAACACGTTTGCTGCTCAGTTATGTGTGCCTCTGACGCAGGCACTCAAGGTGCTTTTCGGTAATCCAAAATTCAACACCTATGAAAAACAGAGGACATGCTTGCAGAGACCACACGGCTCCTCAACGCACCCTCAGGCCCTCCTCACGACTCTGCAATGCGGCGGAAAGGAGTACAGGCGGCTCTCGTGTCACAGAGGACGGCCAACGGGAGCGGTGTCCACAGCGCAGAAAATGCCGAGGTGTGAAACAGAAGAGGCTTTGGGAAGGCCCGCAGGGGACGTCACCTGCCACGCCTGACATGCGTCGTCTCATTCGTGCAACGGGGATCCAACGACACGGTTGCCGCGGTGCCTGTCCGTGCGTGCAACTCACAATTGGGCCAATGA